ACAATCAGAGCGAAGGTCTTCCCTTAGACACCCCCATGGAGATGACACTACAGCAGACCGGGTTTATTCACAGCTCACTGGATCGTATGCTGAAGATGCAGGAAGATCTTCAATCAGCACAAGTTTGGATGTCAGCACAGTTCCTGCTCATGCAAAGAAATCCTCTGCTACAACAAGTTCATCATTTGATTCCAGAGCCGCTAAGAAGATCCATGCTATCACAGGCTATAACAGCTCGACGGCAGGCTGAAGTCAGTGAAGGAAGCCATTGCATCATCAACTAGTCAGAAGTTTCAAGAATCCACGATCTCATTGACATCCAAGATCCAGAAACGGCCTGCAGATATCCAGCATCAACAACAGAATCCTAAATCTCGTCATGTGAACTCTGGTCGGGATTCTTTTCGAGCCTCTACATGGAAGGACAGATCATTTCACTCCCAAGAATAGGAACTCCAAAGATGATCATCCCACTTCACAGAGAGGAAGAGGTAGAGGCAGAGGAGGCTTCCGAGGGCGATACCACCAGAAATGTTTCAACCAGAGATCCTACAGATTCCTTCAGAACCTTCAGAACCTACCGACATTGCCTGCCCAGTGGACAACGATTTAGAACTTCAGAAGATCAACACTACAACCACATTGTATGCCGTCGAACTAGCCTGTCTCACAGACATGGACCCAAGACTACCCAAGTTCAGCACTCCCCCTATTCCGGGACCAGTCCGAGGTCGTCTTATGCAGTTCTCAGACAACTGGGAAGCGATCACAGACGACCCATGGCTGCTTGAAGTAGTAAGAAAAGGTTACAAACTTCATTTCTTAAAACGCCAAGACTAGTCATCCATCCTACTGGACCCCAATTCCATCCATCAGGACGAAAGTTAATTGCAGCAGATGTGGCCATACGCAAATTACTTGCAAAGAGAGCTATCAGCACCTTAAAAGAGTCAGACACCACTCACAGATTCTTCTACCCAGTATTCATTGTACCAAAGAAGAATTCTTCAGATATGCGATTAATCATAGATCTAAAAGTCCTAAACAAAGAATGTCTGGAAAAGCCTCCCAAGTTTCAGATGGAATCTATCAAGAAGTTGAAGAATGCCTTAAGACAAGCAGATTGGATGATAAGCATAGACCTCCAAGACGCCTATTTTCACGTCCCCATCCATCCAAGTCATTGTCGTTATCTGCGCTTCGCAGTCAACGATCAGAGATACCAGCTCAGGGTACAGGCTACATGGATATATAGACGACTATATCGGCCGATCGGACAAGTTGTAAATCAGATTAAATACAGTGTGCCTTATTCAACTACTAACGCATTTAGGACATCACCTACATAGGCGCAAGATTTCTACTCAACAAGGGCATAGTAGCCCCTCCAGAGGACAGATATTCAAGAGTAGAAGACATGATATCAAGCGCACTCATTCAGCCCATCAAATCAAGACGCTGGTGGATGTCTTGCCTCGGCATGCTCACCTCCATCCAAGATCTAACCTACAGAGGCAGACTACAGTTACGTCCCCTGCAAAATTGGATGAATACAACCAAAGACCTAGACCTAGAAGCATTAATTCAACCCCCACCAGTTCGAATCTCAGAACTACATTGGTGGCTGACTCGTCAAAATGTCATGCCCGGTATTCCACTCTCATATCCTGGGAGACCTTACGTCCGGACTAACGTCAAAATACGTTAAATATCACTATCCAAAAGGGCATAACAGAAACTACATCATAAAGTGATATGAAATCATGTAAGACATATATCTCAAACGAGGTCATTGAATGACAACCGAAAGTGATACCACAGGTGATGTCATCACCGGAAGTGACATCACAATATGTCTAAGTATCACATTTGTGGCTAAATATATGTATATTATATTCATTATATGATGTTTTCTCTATGTCTAGCCTTGAAGTTAGGTCATTAGACATATCCCGTTTGGTCCCATTTGTATACAATCCTTGTATTCAAACTTCACAAAAGCCAAATATCTAAGGGTTGCTAGATAACAGATCCCACCGGTCCCTCTGGTGTATACTGGCTATGATGTAATAGAGGTAGGGTATTCACAAGAATTATCAAACAATAGTTTATCATTGTGAATAATTCTAAGAATACTACCTCTATTACATCAGGTATAGTATTCTTAGAATTATACACAATGATAACTATTGTTAGATTTCTTGTGTCCCCTGCTGTGATATTGCTGTAATATTGCTTAAAGCAGTGTAAAGCCATACTCACTCACTCACCCACTCCTCCGTCACTTATCTTTGGCTGAGTATGTAGCACTTGTGGATAAGACCTTGAACTCATTACATTCAAGACTGTCTTCCTGCTCGTGCTGTCTACTGCAGCCCATGTTAGTGGGATCTGTGCTTAGACATCGGTAGAGTTCGGTTCCAGCATCTTCAACAAGGAAAGTATTCCTGGACTTGCGCTGGGACTTTATTGCTAAGATTCAGCTCCCAGGACAACATGGTTGTCTATTCACCATCCACCACTCTCAGTGATATTGGGAGCTGATGACGTGGACAATCTCTCGCTTTGCCCAGTCCGAGCCTTGAAAGTCTACTTGAAGGCATCTCAAGAGCTCCCCTCGCTCTTGCAAGCGTCTTTCATCCCCTTATCGATGGCTGAAACTTCAGAGGTATGTCAAACCACCATCTCCTTTGGCTGCCTTCTATCATCCTCAGGGCCTACACCTTTGTAGGACTCCCCAGCTGCTTCTAATCCTCATGAGATGAGGGCAGTGGATTCCACCTGCGCATTGCATAGTAATTTCACACTCTCAGCCATCATGGAGGGATGTTTCTGGCGTTCTGATAGTCTTTACCTCCCAATACTTTTGATATATCTCAGTCGCCGACTTCCAAGGTCTTCATCTCTTTGGCCCTCTTGTCTTGGCCAAACACGTCACAGCAACCACGTAGCGCAGATGAGGATGCCCTGGGGGCTACAAGTACTGCGTCTGGTATCCAGCATATATACTGCAATAATTCTCTTTATTGCATATGTTCAATCAGGGTTCCCAGACAAGCTTCCAGAGGGAGGGTTTATATGCTACATCTGGTGCAGCCATTTGTTTAAATGGTGTCCCGACCCTCTACCTGCTCAGCTCTGTCTTGCGCATGTGATGTCTCAGTAGTTGATTGATGACCTGTGTGAAAAACATGTATTGTCAATCGTTTCCTCTTCTCATTCTTACCCTATTCAATCTCTATGTGAGCTAGATTGGTTTGACGAAGCGAAAAAAGAGATGCCAAGCTGGTCTGCCTCACATCCTTGGGATTGCATGTGTGAGGTCTGTCTTGTAGAACCTACTTGCCGTGGATGGTGTGTTTGTAACCAACGTTCGCGTTTACCAGTAATTACCATTTTTTTACTGTAAAATTAGGCTTGGATTAGTTCCAGCTTCCTCGTTTACGTCTCACGGTTGAGGTCCTTACAGGCTAGGGTATCTGCGCCCCACCATCCAACCATGGGATAAATGCATAGTGTGAGATAGGATAAGTTTTAAAATTTGTATATTTTCTAATAAATTGTACATTTATATACTTATCCTATCTCACATGTTAAACGCCCACCCAACCATCCCGCATCACAGTTACAGCAGCCTGTACGTTCTAGATTGAAAATGAGGGTGCTGGATATGTCAGGTGATCAGATCACAGAGGTCGTATGTCACGGGATTGCAGTGGTGCGTGACCCATGATCACAGTGGTGACTTGGTGATGTATGGGATGTGTTGGGGTGAGTGGTGTTTTTGAAGCTGGAAACTTTGTTCGAGGACGTTTCCACATCAGGATCAAAGAATAAGAAGAAATGCATAGTGTGAGATAGGATAAGTATATAAATATAAAATTTATTAAGCATTACAATGTTAAGGCTTAAAAATAATAAAAGAATTGGTTCTCAGGCAATGGCTTTTGAAAATTTTGTGCTGGCTGGCAGCCTTCTTTTTTCTTTCTGGTTGTTCAAACTAGTATGTAACCAAATAAACAGTTGGGCCTCCCTACATAACTGTATTCCTTGATGCCTAAAATACTGGAATACAATATTTGACTACAGTTTGACTTCCAGTGTGTGCATAATATAGTCGATTTTATTCACAACGGGAAGACGTTATTGTGAGCATGCAACACCGGAAGAAGCATGTAAACAAATCCGTGAAGTATGCAAGTTAGTCCTGTTATTACACTATCTGTCTAGAAAAGTGTTCATTGTGTATCTGGACTTATGCGTGTACTCCATTATATTACTTTTATCAAAGATTTTATTCAATTTTGTTATACATTAATTTTGGCGAAATTGTGTATGAACTGATTGGCAAATCACATCAGCTCACCATGAACTCGCCTTGAAACGACACTAGTCGTTCGAGATACAAAGTCTTTGGTCTTCCTATCACTACTGAAATTTCTTTTCAGTTATGATATCGCCCATGACATTAAGTATTTTTAAAACAAAATCACCCATAGATTGGGTAGAAAATGCGTGAACAGCAGATTGCTATTTCCAGCTTATTTTTCGAGACAGAAACATTTGTAATCTTAATCTCTGCCTCTGAAACAATGTCCGGCATGCAGTACACAAATACCATTGAATTTGTAGATCATTATGTCTTGTGATGTTTTATCGTAAATTTCATTATTTCATTGACCCATTTTGCAAATGGCAAAACAAGCACACAAACTCCTACTGCCGCCATGACCATGAAACGAGAAAAGCAATAAAGCAGTGCACATGTAGAGGGAAGTAACTGTACGCTGTATTGGATCACACTATTTTTAAGTATTGAAGCATTTCACTGCCAGGGTCATATTTTTTTTTTATGGAAATAAAAACAAAACGTGTGGCGGACTTTGTGATGTTGCTTGCGGCGGTGCCTGAGAACCAAGAATATTATTTTTTTAGCCTAATGTTTTTACTGGTGTTTTTATGACTAGGAAGGCTGTTGAGTGTATTGCCTCTTGTTGCAGTGTGTTCCTTGGAGAGCAGCTGGAGTTTCTGCAACCATTCCTGGAGGACATGATCCCACCAAACAAGAAAGCATTCTTACAACAGTTTTATTCTCAGGTAACCATGTCATTGAGGTGCAGCAAGGTTTATTCAGGGCTGGGGTCAATTGTCTTCAATAGACTCAAGCTTATTATCCAGCCGCTCAACTTGTCCTGGGCCTGTAGAGGTTATACAATGTTGCAGTTCCATTGTCTCCCTACAGCTATTATTTCACCCTTTGGCAAATATTGAATGTATTTGACTTAAATGGAAACCGGCTGCAATTATTAGTTGCATCAAAAGGAAATATATATAGAATTTGATAGCCAACTAACCTGTAAAGTATTAGGTCAGAGGTGATGTGAGGCTTCACTTGGTATGAGGTTTCCAGATGATAAAAAAAGATTCCAGTGAAGACAGGTCACATGAGAATAAACATGACACATGGGCCAGCAAACATGATGATAACTTTGATACCAAACATGATGATAGCAGTGACACCAAACATGATGATAGCTGTGACTCCAAACATGATAGCTGTAACACCAAACATGATGATAGCTGACACCAAACATGATGATAACTGTGACACCAAACATGATGATAACTGACACCAAACATGATGTTGGCTGTGACACCAAACATGATAGCTGTGACACCAAACATGATGATAACTGACACCAAACATGATGATAGCTGTGACACCAAACATGATGATAGCTGTGACTCCAAACATGATAGCTGTGACACCAAACATGATGATAGCTGTGACTCCAAAAGTGATTATAGCTGTGACACCAAACATGATGATAGCTGTGACACCAAACATGATAACTGTGACGCCAAACATGATGATAGCTGTGACACCAAACATGATGATAACTGTTACACCAAACATGATGACAGCTGTGACACCAAACTTTGATCGATAATTTTATTAACAATAATATGTTTACCTTTTAGTTTGACATAGCCAGTGGGCTAATAAGGGTTTCTTTTGTTTGACTCAAATCCAGCTGACCAATCTTCTTGTCTAGATGAGGTTGTCACTGTCTGTGTTGGATGAGGCATTATTATGCACGTTATGTTCTCCCAGACCGTGAAGATGGCAGCAGAGTTACGGAAGCCTATCTACAAGGCTGTGGCAGTGCATGCCATAGACTACGAGTTTGTCCTGCAACAGATGAGCAATGTGCGGTGGGACGTGAAGGAGATCATGTCACAACACAACAACTATGTTGATCATCTACTCGCGGTAAGATACACACATATTGCAGGAGGTACTTGGTCAACAGGAATAATGACAACAAATTTCTGTATAATTCTTTCTCCGGGGGACTTATTGCACTTAAATTCTTAAATGTATTTCTTGTGACAGACCTGTATTAATAATGATATTATTAAGAATAAAAAGAAAAGCATCAACATGTCATGATCTTCAAATAGCGCCGCACACATCTGAGAAGACTATGGGAGTTTAGGGGATTATGCAATGAGTCACCCCAGAAAATATTTATTTTAAAATTACTTTGAAAGTAATGGAGGATAACTCTTATCTAGGTGCCTCCCGCCCAGCCTCCCATTGTACCATGTCTTTAGGACCAACTAATGTAACTTTTGGATATGAACAAGAAGCTGAGTGAATATTGCCCTGGCTGCAGTAAGACATGTGGTACCTACAGTGATACTTGAAGTGCACACGAAGGAGTAGTCGAAGATAATGCCTCAATGTTGTTTTTCTTTATCTTTTTATTAACATCACTATTAATACAGGTCTGTATCAAGGAACAAGGAAGAATTTTATGAGTTAAATGCAAAGAGTCATCCTCAATTACTTATGAATCACGGCTGGTTGTTTTTTATGTTATTGCATACTATGCAAATAGTGACAATGTTCCTGGAATTTATTTGTGCTGAAGTAATGTAGAACAAACATTATATGCAATATTTACCTTTTCAGAGCCTGGTAGAATTTCACAAGAAGCTGATTGAAGCTGACCGCCGCGTACCCATACCTAAAGTGGTGATGGATCTGCTATGGGAACACTGTGTCCGACTCTGCAACAGGACATTTGTGGATGGGTGAGGAACAGCATAAAACTGTCACAGAGTTGCGTCCCTTGGGCAGGCCAGAAACCTAAGATCATGTGTTCGAATCCCGGTTCACCCCGATTTTGTTCTGTGCTCTTGGGTTTCACTAAAGTAGTGTACGTGTAAGACCTGCATCAATTCAGGCTTTCCCACATGAAGCTGACATGCCATGATATGACTCGAAAGCTGTGTTAAGCCCAAGTTGCTCACTCACTCTTTTGGGAATTTCTTGAACGCTCTTTATGTTATTACTGTTGCAAATTCAGTTATGACTGATATAATGTTACAAATTTTCCAGAACAATTCAGGTGAGCTTCAGAGCCTTGTGGCAGTATAATATCTTCTATACATACATAGGTTTGTTTTGATACAAGTGTATTTCATATGTGTAATTGTTGTGCATACTGCACATGTCATCTTCCTCCAACACCAGTATTCTGTGTGATGGCTATGACTAGTCCACCTTGTTCATGGTGATGTAATTGTGGTGGTAGATCTTAAACCTGTGGGGGCGGCCGTGAAGCCTAATGGTTAAAGCGTTCGCTCGTCACGCTGAAGACCCAGGTTCGATTCCCAACATGGGTACAATGTGTGAAGCCCATTTCTGGTGTTCCCCGCCGTGATATTGCTGGAATATTGCTAAAAGCGGCGTAAAACCATACTCACTCACTCACTCACTCTTAAACCTGTGTGTGACATCTGTTGATGTAGGTACGCTAATGCCAGGAAGTGCAGCAATGAGGGCCGGGCTCTGATGCAACTCGACTTCCAGCAGTTTGTCACCAGGCTCGACAGAATCACAGACATCAAGTATGTACAGACACCTGTGTAGTATCATGTCATCATAGTTGTAATGTGATTTGGTAGTTTGTCATGAGGGAACACAGATACCTAGTTTCTTTGTTATGACACAGTATTGACTGCTGATTGCTGCTTTCAGGCCAATACCGGAGAGGGAGTTTGTGGAGACATACATCAAGGCATACTACCTCCCTGAGAGCCAGCTGGAGACATGGCTTCAGGATCACAAGGTATCAACAGACTCTTGTTTGTTTCACAGCTGCTTCTTTGTTTACTTGCTCATGTTTACTAACCACCCTGATACAGATGAAATAATGCTGCGTGTGATGATAATCAACATTCACTCATTTCTAACTCTTGATGTTTACCGCTGAATCTGTGATATGTTCCACTTTTGGGGAGCCTGTTTGTACACGACTGCCTCCATGGTCTAGTGGTAGGACAGAAGGTCCGAGGTTTGATCCCTGGCCACGTCATACCAAAAGACGTTAAAAGATGGTACTTGTTGTTACCCTGCTTGGTGCTGGGTATTAAGAGGCAAAAACAATTACTGGTCGGCTCGGAGTCTGAGGTATTCTTGTTAAACTGAAGCATGGTATATCAGTTGGGTAGCACTATAAATTTGGCACACGCAGATGCATACACACATGCATTCACGTTGTTATATAAGTGCAATATTCTTGAACACGACATTAAACCCCATTTCACCTCACCTCACCTCACCTCACCTTTGTGTACACACTCTGCTTTGAATGTGACACTTGGACACGTGGTACTGTATGACTGACAACATCGAGGGTTGTTTGGGGCGCCGCATGCAGAGGTTATTGTTATCAGTCATGAGTGTGCAAGATGCTATATTGTTGATGTCTGTCCAGGAATACTCGAACAAGCAGCTCCTGGCTCTCATCAGCTCTGTGGACCACATCAGTAAGAAGGCCAGACAAAGATTGACTACTGTGGTGGAGGACATGGACCGTGTCCGCAGGTAGCACTGACCACCACCTCCAGCAGGACAGATGTGACCAACTGACCACCATTCCACTGCCTGTCCCTTGACCAGCTCGCAGCAGCATGTATTGCAACTTTCCATAGTCAGACAGTGTCACAAACACATAGTTCATATATGCTATTTATCTGGTGATTGATGTGTACCAAAGACACAAGACATTTTAAGTCTATATAATTTGCTTCTGTATGGATTGAATGTTGAGTTTAATGATCAAGTGAAGTTGTGTTGTGTAAAACTGGCTGAAACAGGCAGTTTTTGACTCGATTTCCAGTGTGTACACAGTGCATGAGGTGTCTTGTCACAGAAGTTGAAGCAGTTTCATCTATATATGAACAGATATCCCGATACACTGGCATTCACAGCTTTACCCTTGTTAATGAACTATCCAAGATACATTTTGTTTATGGTATTTTAGCATTACTCTGAAACCTGAGGAACAATTTGGGTTTTCTTGTTTTCAAATAATGCCTGATTCATTAAGAAAATCTCTCAAGATGTTTCCACAAGACATGCTCAAGGTGTGTGTTTATCAGTTCATGTTGAGCTCCTTGTATCATTCTGCTTAGAGTCAATAAAAGGGCTTTGAGATTTGGGTGAGGGTAGTGCTTGCAAGTGAAAGTTATCACTTGTTGTTTTGTGGACCAACATTCCATGCTGCATCATTCAGGAGGTCATCTGTACTTATGTCCCTCCATAAACCTGCAATGTTTTATGCCATTTGCCATCTAAGGATTTGAGGTCAGTAGACAATCCATTTGGGTGTGGCAGTAGAGAATAACATATCGGCAATCAGTTGCACCCCTCAGATGCAGCGATTGAGAAGCCTTTCAAACGTGATAGTCAGCAAAACAACAAAGTTTCTCCTTAATTTCAGCAAATGGCTACAAAACATTCCAGGAACATGGATACTGCATGCACTGAATTCAACTTGCTGGACAGTGGCTGAAATACAGCTGATGACAGCAGCAGCAGAAACGAGCTCCTATTCAGTTAGTGGTGTTGTGTGCAGTCATGTTCCTGTCTGCAGAATGGAAACTGCATATTAAAGAGACACTGACAGGAAACTCTACCTGTGTAATGACATGCTGTGAAAAATATGAAATGTTATGATTGAAACATGTTCATTGCAAGAGATTTATTTTGCAGTTTCTTCTCAGGTTGCAGAAGATGTTTTTAATCAGGGAATCATTCACTTTCCACCTTCTCATCATTTTGATCCACCCAGTGGATGAACTGTCCCCGGCCCGGGGAATTATGCAATCTTGTGAACTATGTTCATGATAGAACAAAGAAATGTGTATTCATGATGTATCTGAACAATTAGAACTTTTATGAAACAAGAAGACATGCTCATTCCAGTGAAACAGACTGAGCTGTGGTCACATCTGCAGTTGGAGAGAAAGGGTGCTTGTGTTGTTGGAACAGTCATGACAAGAGGGGCTCCCCTGCTTAGGTCAGAGTTGTACTGGGAATACGTCACTGATTATTAAGAACAAGAGGAGGATGTCACAGGAAAGATATGTTCATGTGATGATTTTCTTCAATGGTTGATGCTGAATAAGCAAACTGAAACTCGGCTGAATATATTGTAATTTCTTTTGGCCCATACTAAAAATACTTTGCAAATATCTTCTCCTCTGATATTAAGTTGCAAGTCCAAATGCTTGGGAATAATTCATGAAGAGAAGTTCTGGTATTCTGAATGTCAAAAGAGTTAATCAACAGAGATGAAATTATTCAGTTTATGTATAAAATAACATGAAAGTTAGGTCAACAGCTGTGGAAACTGTGGTGTGTTTGATGACAGTTGGCACCCATGGTGTGACATCAGAATACTAATGAAATGCTTTCTAAATGCTTCCCAATAACTGAACTAATCAAATTATGCAAATCCTGCAATAGCAACTCTAATAGGACCTACAGGGGTAGCCCACTGAATACTTAGTCATTGCCGCCACCTTTATTCCCACTTGGGTCACAATGAGTTGTCCCGCATGATTCACATAAATAGTAAGATTATGAACATTTCTGACAGTTGGTTGTAGATTAAAGAGGAAAATATGTTCCTTGGTACTAATCATACAAGCTAGTTCAACCACTTGCTTCATTGTAATGAAGGTGGTTGTTGTCATGATGATGTAAGGGGGTGGCAGTACTCCATGATGGTGCAGCACCAACACAGGTGTTTCCACACATCAGTTCGGATCAGGGCATGGAGATGGCATGGCTCATTGATGTCAATGTAATTCTAATTCCGCTGAAGGCTGTATGTGTAATCATGTTTCAATCATTGTCTGAATGTGTAATCAGAGTGTTGGCGACCATTCCATTGGGGGGTCCTCATGATAAAGTATTTAATGTTAGTATGAAGTGTCTTATGATTTTGTGCTGTATATATTGTGAGTATGTTGATGTCCAGATGCACAGTGTAGGTTTGAGGGAGATGTGTGCTAATGCTGTTCTACTCATTCTACGACTAAAACTAAAGGAAAGCGGGAATACGACTGTGATGGTGTATGGAAGATCCTGTGTATTTCATTAACACATGTATTGTTTGTCAGTTTCAACTGGCAGTTATCGTACCTAATAGCTTAAGCCAAGATTCCTAAAAAATATGACTGGATAGGAAGACACTTTCCCATGTTACTGTGACATTTTGGAAGTGAAATAGAATTGTTTTCCCATTCCCATTGCAGTATAGAAGCTCATTAATTTAATTGATGGGTAGTTTGCTTGCAAGACATCACACATGCATTAGTAACCTATGGTAACATATTCACAACAGGTATGTGTGAGGCTTGTAGTAAGATGCAATGTTTCCTTATTTCCCTTGGTACATTGAGAATAATGCATACAAGATATCAAAATAGCAATAAGAAGCTCTGTATCAACAGCACACAGACTGTTACAAGTATTAAGCACTGGAAACTGGATATGCAGTTATGCGGGGGACAAACAAAATCTCATCTCCTTTCACATTCATGCTGCCAACAGTTGAATGGAAGCAGCATGTTTTCGAAGTTTACTGAAGGACATTTCATGGTGTTGTGGAAGGAATATGTAACACATTATTCTGTTAGAAGATCTGCCAATACTTAGCTTGTCTTGTTCCTTGGACTAGAAGAAGATTTTCAGCTTGTTGGTGACAGTAGATGAGGAGTCTGAACACAATTTGTTGTATTTACTTTAGTGAAGTAATTTGGTTGTAATAAACATATTGACTCAAAAAAACTGTACAGGTAGCCATGGTAGCTACATTGTTATAGTATTTCAGTGAATACTTGTCCAAACATATCTTACCAATTGTAAATTAACATGTTATTATACTATATTGAGTTTTTATTTATGCAAAATGTATATACAAATAAATACAGGAAATATTGATGATGTTTGTTTTCTTCCCCTAATAGAGAGTTAGAATCATCATCAGTGAAGCCTGATTGATTCCTGATGCCACTTCAGTCTGCAACAAACACACATAAGAAGGAGTCATGTTTCTACAGAACATCTCAGTCTGCATCAAACACACATATAGTGGAAGGAAGTCATATTTCTACAGAACATCTCAGTCTGCAACAAACACACATATACTGGAAGGAAGTCATAATTCTACAGAACATCTCAGTCTGCAACACACAGTCTTCATATCACTTACATCTTGTTTTTCTGTGTTGATGACTGAGCTGTTCTGTAGAAATATAACAATAGTTATCATTGTGTATAATTCTAAGAATACTACCTCTATTACATCATAGCCATACATTCCTGTTTATGTTGAGAACCGCACTACAAATTTAAATAAATTTTCAACAGATGTCCTCTTCACTGCCAACATATCTAATAGAGGCCGCAATCTCCTCACTTCTTTCAACCCATGACCCTCATCAACTAGATGCAGATATTTGGGGAGGTGGGAGGGATTAATTCCTGATAACTATTGTTTGATAATTCTTGTGAATACCCTACCTCTATTACATCATAGCCAGTATTCACCAGAGGGACAGGTGTGACGTCACTTCCGGTTGTCATTCAATGACCTCGATATATGTCTTCTATGATTTCATATCACCTTATGACGTCGTTTCCGTTATGCCCTTTTGGATAGTGATATTTAACGTATTTTGACGTTAGTCCTGACGTGAGGTCTCCAATGACGTCACTTCCGGTGGTAGTACATCATACATCCTAGATTATCATGTAGAAACCGTATATCACTTGTATCCTTTCGATCTATGATTTCAGTGTTGCCACTTGACTTGTCTACTATCCAATAGCAAACTAAGTACAAAGGTCAACTAACCCTGAGTTCATGAATGAGGTATTCTGAAATCTCCCCCATAGATCCCATTTTGGAAATATTCGTGGTGTTTTAATGTTTTCCAGTGCAAAAGACTTCATGATCATGAGTCGATTCAGTACTGGCTGTGTACCTATAGATAGGTGTTGTAATACTGATGCCAGGGCGGATCTATAGCCTTCGATAGTGCCATGTCGAAATTTCTTGTCGTTACTGAGATAGAGCAAGAATTCAGCAACTATAGGTATCGTTATCTCCACGTCTAAATAATTTCTTATTCTCCACTCGATGAACTTGTCCCATCTGTTATTGTATAGGGCAGATGATGCTGGTCTCCATGAACTTGCCACTCTTTGTGCGGCTGATTTAGAGTAACCGGCGGCTTGCATTTTATTCGAGATAACTTCCAAGCGTGAAGGTGGAGATTGTCGAGGCGGCCGTAAAATATGTCCGTTTTCGGTTGTCTCAGTAAATCGTGACGTACAGGGAGTTTCAGAGGTTCTTCCACTAGGAGGGGTGGTAACCTTGGAAACCAAGCCCTGTTTGGCCATGCCTGGGCTATGACAATTATGATGCAGTCTGTCTCTTCTATTTTCCTCAGAACTCTGTCTAGAAGAGCCCACGGGGGAAATTCGTAAGCGAACATTCCCTCCCAGTCCATAGAAAGAGCGTCGACCTGGAGAGCTAGCGGGTCTGGTACCGGACTGACGTAGACTGGTAGTTTGTTGTTGAGACAAGTGGCGAAAATATCTAGGTTTGGAGTATCCCATAGGTAGGTTATCCACTTGAATATATCGGGATGTAGTGACCATTCCGTGGGTACGATCTTGTTTTTCCAGGTTAGGTAATCTGCTAGGATGTTCAACTTGCCCTGTATGTGTCTTGCTTCTATAATCAAGGTTTTGTCCCGTGTTTGGGAACTTGATTATATCTTAAGAAGAAGAAGAGGAACGATTACAGTCAAGCAGTTTACTGTCAGTGGTATTGTGTCTTATAATACAGAATACAAGAGACATAATAGCAATACATGGAACATAGAATGATAATAGTATGAATACATGAAACATATAGAATAATGATAGAACGATCGAATAAGCAACGGTTATAATACTTGAGGGGGAAAGCTGGAAAGGTAGGGGATATAGCTATAGGTAGAGCTAAGCACACTTTCATGTCTAGAGAGAGCATTACATCATAACACCAACATTATGACCTGTGACTGCATTTGTAAGTAACGTCACTATAAATACGCTTGGCTTATTACGCCCGAAGTGAGACGCGCTATTTACTAAATGTAGATAGACATATACGCGATAAACGATAATAACAATAACCTCAAACCAAGTATAATAAAACATGTAGATGTAGGATATGAACGATATTGATAATCCGAATAGTATCATTTGCATGGAGTTGACTTATCAAGATGTTAGATTTGATTTCTAAGTTCATCAATGCTTTGTCATCGTTTGTATCAAAATATGATAAAGTAACAGTTTCTGTAACGGCCGAACAGTAGATATACAGACTAACTGTCTGTGTCTTTATCGTTCAACATGCCACCCGATTAACGTTACTTTCATGACATTTATTTGATACATATTGTGTTCTGATACCGTGTATATTCGGATATTGATAATGGAAAATCATATTCAATTAATAGGTAATTACTGCTCATTTACGGACACATGTGGTGCTAAACACATTTCATAAAACATACAAAGTATAGTAAACATCTATTCATAGTACATACAAGTTCTGGTAAACAAATATCTCAAACACGCACGTTATTGTGTTTGATCTTTCATACGTACATAGGTAATAATGAACGCTTCATTATTTAAACATACAAGGGACCCGTGCACATGCACAGTGCAAATATGTCTCCACAATCTTACATTAGCTTGTTAGAGTTAACCATCTATAGAAACACAGACTATCTAGAATATATCACACACATATATATAATATAGGACCAAATGTATCAAGTAATAAAATGTTTCTTACCTTAATAAGAAGAAGAGGAACGATTACAGTCAAGCAGTTTACTGTCAGTGGTGTTGTGTACTGACCAGTGGAGATGCTTGACTTTTATAGTAATCGCCTCGTACATTTTGACTTTGAGTGATTCCCTAGTCAATGAATTGTGCATTGTCTTCATCTAGTTCTTGACCGACGGACGAAACGTCACGAGGTAGTGATGTTGTATTATAACATAATAATAACTTCTACGCCGGCGCGACTACGGCCTCTGGACAATAGAATTCACTCAGCGCGATGGGTTTGATGGATACGTCCACCTTACATCACTGTAGCCTGCTATGTAGCGGTCAGTGTTCAGTGTGACACGTGAACGTCTACAAGATTTAATTGCTTGTTGATATGTTGCAGGTAATGAAACCTTTATGAATATTTTAATTCCATTTATATTTAGCTAATAATCATATCAGAAAACGCTAATATTTACATAACATATTGGAACAATATTGAGTGTATTTTACACTGGTATAATTTCCCTCTTGTGTGTTTTAGCTTTTGGCCTCAAAAGCTGAATTAAAGAACATGTTAAACAATGACAAATTGAATATAAGACTAATAACATATGGAATCTATACAAACATACATAATTATATAAAGGCATGGTGATTAGTACTGTAATGGGTTCAGTATTCACATGTCTGGATACATTTTGTCACTGATAATCTCTGGTTCCAGCACGGTGAAGAATCTTTGATGTACAACCAGAATGTGGGCTTGAAAGGGTTGCTTTAAGACGGTCTTCAATGTTTTACCAGAAAGGAATGGTACATTCAGTGTAGAACTTACTAATATGCTTTTACCCGAAAATTTGTTTTCAATTTTGAATCCTGGCCAGTTAAGAGAAAGGGTCGGCCAAAATGTTCCAGTAAGGGATAAATTATCGATGGTAATAGGGTGTGTCAGATGCCAATATGACGGACAGAGGGACAGTTTCATTATAGGGATAATAACACGCAGAACCTGTGGTGATTTCCAAATGTAGCTCAGTGGTGTGGGAACGCTTCTCAATCAATTTGGAAATGAACAGAAGAAGTACAAGCAATGTACAGATACCAACCAATAATGATGCTAAGGGGAAAGCATAGTCTACATCAATGTAGACTGGTGAGGGGGGAGGGGGCGTGGTCTCAAATGAATATTTAAAGGATGGAACGGTCGGATCTCCCAAGGCTTTGGCAGATGGAGTTTGTGTTAACAGTATTATCATTGCTGTAAGAGCGCGCAATCTTAAAAACATCCAAAAACTGATAATGGATAATAAACATACCATGAATAAGGAAGCATAGGAAATCATAGACTTACCATCTAACCATGACGTTTGTAAGTTTATTTGACCATCCAATAAGGGTTCAGTAAGTGTTTGGAAAATGAGTTGGTCCTTTTTAGCGCTCTCAGCCATGCGTCTGAGATTGAGGTGACTATTATGGTCATTAGCTATGATGTTCGAAAAATTGTGTGAATAAATGTGAAAGTCTGGAATTTCAACTTTGACAGGGGATAGGTAGGTGGTGGTTCCTGTAAGTGATTCTAATGTATCGTCCTCAAAGAAATGCTGTAGCAAGGCCAAATTGACTGGATGAGAAGGAGTAACAGTGTCACTTGTGTTACTGCATGAAATAAGACTTGCAGGAATAAATAGTGATTGGGTAGATAGCGCACATCGACATGGAATGGACAATATGCAGAAATTACAACCTTTTACCATTTTTAAACCTGACTCGCAGTCCAATGAAATTAGAGGAACATGATAAACTAGTACTTTGGAAGGGGATATTTGAATGAAATTAGACTGTTTAGTAGTGATGAGAAAACGGAAGTTGCAAGTTTGACTGTTTCATTGAGTGTTGTCATGACATCGGTTTGAATTGAGTGTAGAATCGTGTTAACATTATTCAATGCAGTACATTTGTGTGATTCTGAATGGCATTTTGGACGCATTGGCATGTGAACATGTTCTGGGAGGGGCAGTTCAAAAGTATGAAGCCATTGTTCTGTACCCAATGTAACATATGGATGAGCAAGGACTGGTTTGAAGACAATACCAT